CTGCATGATAGTCATGACATATATATGGCAGCATGGGCAGTCACCATGGACTTTTGCAACAATCGAAATGGCTGCGCTGTATATTCAAAATATGTGCTTGATTCAAGCATTGTGGTATGGATACCAAGTTGCGAATGATTGCATCATATGTTGCAACAAGTTTTATGCGGACTCGGGACCGTCACTCAAATAGAATATGCATGCGAGAGAATCCAACTTTCCTGGGCCACCAAGTTAGGTCCCATGTGCAAAACCCGCCAGAATATCATGCAAGGTTACGGAAGCCATGGCCAAAATTCATGCACCATAATCCATTTCAATTCAAGCGAACGGTACAAGCTTGAGCTATGTCCTTAAAGAACAGGGTACAGATTGAGCTGTCTTGGTGCACTGGTCACCACAATCTGGCAAGACAAGCTTTGCTTGGAGCTTCCCTGACCCACTGCCACCTTCAACTACGAAGCTCCTACCACCCGTGTCACTGCAAGGCTCGAAGGTTGCAAGCAGAACACGGAAGGAGCAACCGAAAAGGCACCTCGCAGCTCAACTATGTGCGGTAGACAAGACGCCATTAGTTACCAGACGCATCGAATCAGAGGCATCATAAGGTGGAGGGAGAAGGACAGTGCCTCTCCACTCACTCATTCAGCCGCCGACCAACGCGTAGTTGATGACTGACATGCTTGAGACGTGGAAGAAGTGGAGGAGGCTGGGCGTTGAGGTGCGGTGGAAGTCGGAAAGGGTCACCCGGGGAAGGTCAGCACTGTCCGACGGAATCCAGTCAAGGACGCAAACTCTATATTTGACACTATGACTTGCAGCGGAATTGGTCAACCGTCGGATTGCACGGTACAACGCTCAGGCTTCAGCAGACAAAAGCAAGCAGAACTGCTGGGACGAATTGCAAGGAAAGCTGTGCAGGAAAAAAGCCAAGCAATTTGCTGCGCGCAAGGATACAGACAGGTGCGAAGTTACGGCGTGCTAGAGCGGCCCCGACCATCAGGACTTGGCCTTTTTGGCGAGGTTCAGTCTGCGGAGACAGGAAGAGAAAGCCGGCAGTTCAGATCCTTCACCAGTGCCAATACTGATGAGGCTCTGCAGCACCATCGCTGCATGCCAATGCTTTTAAGAAGACTCAAAAAAATTGTTCTCTGTGTGCGCAATGTGGCCGTACCCCAACCGGGCAACAGCGGCACTATGCCTTTCAGTATCCACCACAGCGTCCTGCATGATTGAAAGGCACAGAGGTCATGGGCTTAAAACGTCAGGCCTCCCAGAGTCCCCCAAACCATGGGACATTCAACAAAGAAGGAGCCTTACCAGCATCCCCACGTCCTGGGCCACTAACCTGATGAGCGGCCGTTTCGGTGCATCCTGTCTTGCTGCCTTCCCCCCGGGCCGGCCCGGCCCGGTCGGGAAGGCGGGCTGCAGGGGAGAGGAGACCGGTCAAACTGCGCATGCCCCCGGTTGCCAACGTGCTGCCAGGTGGCGGGTTGGGTGGTGAAGCTGAGAGGGCGTTGACACCATGTTGGCCCCTGCCTGAGCAGCATTCACTTGAGAAGAATTCGTTAGCATGACATTTGTTCCTTTTGAGGAACAAAGCCGGCTCTTACGGTGACAAAGAGTGCTATTTCGAAGCCAATAAGCAAGGAAGTTACCATCCGACTTTTAGGCCCAAGAAAGGAGATCCAAGCATTTGACAATTGGATCTGCTATAGTTTCGCGCTCTCCATTCGGATGCTCTGTGAAAGACAAGCAGTCTGAAGGCAGATGAACCGAGGCGATATCCAGATGCACTTTGCAGAACCATAACCAGCAAGAAATTCCATTATCATCAATTAATAAAGCACAGTTAGTAGGGTGAGACGGCCAGAAACGTCGCCCGCCCGGCAGGGCCCATGAGCGCGGTGCAGCACCTCCAACTCCTCCACCCCCCCGTCGCCGTTCGCCTCCGTTCTCTCCGCTTCAGCGTGTCCGTTGATCGCAGCAGGCGCAGTCGTTGCCCCCTCCGTCCCAACCGCTGACCCGTTCTCTTCCCCAGCTACCTCCCCCGGAGCTTCCGCCGCCACTAGTTCCTCCCCCCCACTGCCGTCCTCGACACCAGCCCCCGTTTCCAGCTCCGTGTTTCGTGCCTCCGCAGTGCCGTCGAGCTCCGCTTGATCGAGCGGCGCACTTTCCGGGGGGGCAAGCTCCTCCCCCGTCAGATCCATCCCGTCCGGACTTTCATCCGCCGCCGCCGCTTCCTCGGTCGCCGGGCCTACGTCAGCAGATGCGCCCGGTTCCAAACCCCGCGCCTGCCCCCCGGCCGTCTGCCCGTCGCCGGTTTTCGCAGCCTTGGCTTCCGGGGCCCCGTTCTCCTCAAGCTCGCCGTCCGGCCCAGCTATTGCGGGGGTGATCTCCTCCGACGGCCGCTTTTTCGGGGCCCTCTCGGGCTCGCCGTCAGGTGCAGCGACTGGCAGAGCAATCTCCTGCGACGGCCGCTTTCTCGGGGCCCTCTCGGGGCGCACCCCTCCGGGGAACACCCACGCCGGCAGCTGCTTCTTCTTTGCGCGACTGATTGCCATTTCCATGCCCTCCTTGCGGCCCTGCCACTCAAACACCTGCAGGCGGATCGCCGGAGCTTAGAAAAAGGAAGTCACCGATCAATGCCAGCGGCGACGGGAGGGTTGAGGCTCTGGACGGTAAAGCGGCAAAGGTCTCGGCAACGCGAAATCGAAAAGGAACGTGCACGTCATACAACATATTTGTTAGGCACCTGCGATGCGGACCATGCTCTGGGTGAATCTCATGTACTCAGCAACCTGCACGGCCATTTCCTCGAGGATGGAGTTCGTGTAAAAGCTTGGTGTCAAGAAAGGCAGAACTGAGGATTGGTCTGACGCCTGCGGGGCCCATCCCGACTAGACGTCTTGACAGACAGGAAGCCTCGTCTCTGATCGAACAGTTCTGACGTCAGCGAGCATACCGTTACTTGAATCAGCGACCGGTCACTAGCTTCGTCAGAGGATGTTTTAGAGTCAGCGACCTTGGAACCTCCTTCCCTACACTTCTGCGAGTGTCATGGCTCCTACAAAATGAAAAACCTAAGAAACAGTCCTTTGACGTGCCTGCGGCTTGAAGGCGTTGACTGCGGGTCGAAGGTCGGCGGACTTGGGTCCGTCAGGGCCCATGCGCGGGTTGGGCTGGAGGCCCATGAAGAAGGCGGTGTGCAGGCCAGCGAGTGCGGGGTCGCAGTACTCGGCCGCGTTGGGGTGGCACTGCAGGATGCCCTGTGTGAAGCGCTCCACCTGGCAGGCAGGAAAGTGGGCTTTCAGAAACGAACACATTCTTGAGGCCGATACTACTTCAGGGCTCTCGAAATCTGACGAAGTCAAGGATTCCCTCAGTCGGGCGCTTTAATTAAGGCTGCTTTGGGGTGGCACTGCAGGATGCCTTGCGTGAAGTGCTCCGCCTGGCAGGCGAAAAGATGGGCCTCTTGAACAATCTCATAAGTGAGAGGAAGTTTCAAAGTTCAGAGCACTAGACTCGTGAAACCTAACGAAGTCTTTCGTACTATCTTTCGGAAGCATGTGCTTTGAAACCCGCCGTCTCACCTTGAGGGTCAGCTGCCGCAACCTCGACTCGACCCAGCCCCGCCAGGAAATCATGTCGTCAATTGTGGACGCGGAGATGTCGATCTGGAGGAAGTGCTTGTAGGTGTCGAAGAACTTGAACGTCTCGAACAGGGGGCCCCAGTCCTTGTTGTACAGCGAGATCTCCTGCGAGATAGGAAACATGTACTGCCATACGAAAAGCTTCTCAGAGAAACCCGAAAAGCAGAGTAAAAACAAGATTACGATCACCACGCTCACCAGACAATCGCAATGCCCAGTCTGAGAAGGGTAAATTAATCAGAGCAGGGGAGGTTGGGAAGGAGTAAGGGGCACGTGAATTTCGGATTGACTGATTCCACTGTAACCCAGAATCGTCACCACTCCTGACGTCAAAAGACAACAAAAACCGGGAAAAAAGTTGTCCATCAACAAGCAAACTCCGAAGGTCTCCAAAGCCAGAACACACAATGACAAACCACTCAGAAGACGCTACCCTTTGTATCACGAGCCGTCTTGCTACTGCCAATGCATCGCGAGCCTCACCTTGCAGACCTCGACCCCGCGCGCAAACTCCTGCTTCATGATGCGCAGCGTGCTCTCCGACACGTTGTAGCTGCTGTTCATGCACGGGTACGCGGGCGTGATGATCGGCATCAGGTGGCTCTTGTCCCGGAAATTCTTGCGGGGGTCCCAAATGGTCAACCCCAGCGCGCCTTCCTCGATGGGTTTGAGGATGACCGGGTTGGGCCAACGCCACATCTCGTAGACGGTGAAGAACTTTTGGACGAGCATGGAGGGGCACGCGTTGGGGTACAGCTGGCAGACGCGCGCCGCGAGGATGGCCCAGTTGACGCCGCCCAGGAAACCAGTGACCTGCACAGGAATGGGTTATAATTGAACGTGCTTTGGCTACAGGCAGGATGACGGACACGGGTTATGTATTAAACGTGCTTTGGCTACAGGCTGATGACCAGGTTTTGAACAATGAAAGGTTATTCTGATCGACAATTACGAGAGTTGGCTGACGGCACTTCCTCCCCTTGCTTGATAAAGCAGATTTGTGTAACGGAAGTCCCACATAGGACAGCGTTGAAAGGGCTGGGTGAGGACTAAAGAGACAAACAGTCCCACTCGCAGTGCAAATCAGTCCACCCTGAGTCGGGTGTCCAACATGGAAAGAACCCCTTGCCCCACAATAGAGTGCCTGATTGAGGGCGGGGTCGACCTAACAGCTTTAACGAGAGAACATCACAGCAAATCCAAATGTGTGGCTTTCCGAGGGTGCAGAGGTAGACCCGCTGCTCTCGAGTTGCACTGAAACAGTAGTTATCTCGTCCACTCTGTTGTTCGCTCCGTTCGTTCCGTTCCGTGCCCAAACCAGCACCGGAGTCCGTTGCCCATTCCGTCCGTTCCGTTCTGTGCCCAAACCACACAAGCAAAACCGGAAAAACTGGCAGACTCACGTTGGAGTAGACGCCGCGCTTCTTGGCCCACAGCTTCATGCACCGGAGGGTCGTCCTAAAGGCGGGGATGTTGGGGACGAGCTTCAGGATCTGGTCCGTCACGCGGCACCCGTTCAAACTGCGCACCGTCTGCTCGTCCAGGCCCTGAAGGATGGAATCCCCCGAGATGTCTAAATCCTGCAAAGAGAACGGGAAGGAAGGGGTGAATGGGCCCTTCTAAGAGAAAAGTGTAGTAAGACCTGTACCGCTACCAGTCTCCATCTCTTGAGACGTTCAAGTCCTGTAGACAAAGGTAAGGCAGGGAAGGGGTACATGAGGGCCTCCAACGAAAAGAGGTTACGAGACCCATAGCTTCCTCCAACATGTTGGCAATAAAGCATTGGAGAGAATGTATTGATTCGGTGTGAGTTTACAAAGACAAACGGGAGCAAACATTGCAACGACTAAGCAGGATCCAAGTACAGGGGCAGGCGCTGTGACGCATGTACTCCAGCATATTTGGACAAGCATGCAGCTTTTTAACGCGCTCACAAGAACGGTGGCTGGAAGATGGGTCTGACAAGTCGTGGTGAAGGAAATGGCAGGGAGTCAACTCAGGCAAGCGGTCCGAAGGTCTTGGCTGGTAATCTCGTATGGTTCCACAAAGAGCGGAAATAAAGAACCAACGCTTATGTTTCCCTCCCCGACACCATTAAGGGACGAAATATATTCGTGCAAAATGCATACGGCTGTTCTCTGTGTGAACGACTAACGAAGTGTCGCAGCCGAGAACGCCCCCTTCTACAAGTTCCTAGGGCAAAGGCTATTCCCAAAACCAGCGCGCACGATTACATTCAATTCCCTTCCAACCTGTCCGTGCCCGCCCGTCGTCTTCTACCGCACCCTGAACGCTCAAAGTAAAGCTCGCGGACAAGGACCAACAGGAACGAAGTGACACGTCACCTCCGGAATCTGCCACATGTTCAGCTTTGCATACACCAGATCGATGGAGATGCCCTTCAGCTTGAACTTCATGACTGGCACGTGCGAGTCTGGGACAGCGTGCAGCTCCACAATGTCTGGCACCTCCCTCAGCATGTCGTGCAGCGTCACAAAGAAGTCCGTCTGCAGAACAAGGAAAAGTTTCGTTTTTAAAGAGGGTCTAAGTTGATGCATAACAAGAGGCCTGTGAAATTTGTAGGGCATGAGAGTCAACATTGGCGCATTTGAGAAGCAACCGAAGGCCCTTTGCCCTCGACGTTGGTAGACCGCTCTGCTGCAGGTCAAGGGAGGATGTCCGGAGTTCTGTCCCGTCAGGATGTGACCTTTCTGAAACCGCAAATTGCAAAGAATGACGGTCATATCAGCAGCAATATCATCTTAACCTTCTCTGGATTTCAAAAGGAAAAAAAATTGGAGTGACAGGCCCTACCTCGCGGTCGCACATGGTGGGACCGATGCAGAGGGTGTCAATATCAGCGCCAGGTCCATGAACCTGTCGGAAGACAATGAAACTCATTAAACAAATAATCCACTCACAATCCATACATGGAAAATAATACGTTTTTAAATGGTCTACACTGTCACCCAGATTGAAAGGAGTGGCAAGGCTAACACTGGAGGCTTCAGTGGCGCCCAATTTTTGAAGCCCCCCCCCCCATGTTCAAACATACCAGAAGATAGTTAGCACCTTGCAGGGAATTGACAGGGTTGAGGCGCTATCGAAGCAGACGCACCCAAGTTTTCTGTGCAGCAATAGCAGGCGCTTGCCAGAATCCATGGAAGAGGTGGAACAACTTACTCCTAACCGATATGATCCAAAGGTGAAGATCTTTGCACTTGATCCCTCGATGATGGAGTCGGCGAAACCCTTGGAGCGTGCAACTTGCTTAACCCAGCGCTTGACCATCTGTAATTGTCACAGACCGCAAACATCCTGAGTAAGAAACTGTTTTTGCCACCGAAGGATGCTCAACAATGCTACTTGTCTCATAGCACAAATCAGCAACTTGATCAAATAGAACCTCCACAAGCGCATGAAACTTTGAGACAGATGCTCTAGCGATGCATTATCTCAGTGATATTTGAATTGGCAGCCAAGGCAAGGCTGAAGGGCTTGGAAGCTGGCAGTTGCCTGCAGTAGCATTGAGAAAATTTGAATCTTCCATCCCAGACCTACAAGTGGAACAGCTACAAAAGCCGGCTAGAGCCATCTTGGGGGGCCATGTGGAATGGCCCAGACCTACGAGAAACCCTCATTCCAGAATCAACCAAGGCAACCGACAAATGCACACAATCTGAAACTCACCTCATCCAAAAACCCAAGGACTTCCTCTCGAAGCAGCGCTTCGTCCCGGCTCTCGTAAAGCCCTGCTGCCACCAAGTACTGCCAGAATAGCCAAAGAGCATAATATGAGCAACTTTGCATACTTGAAAAAAAACAGGTAAACGAGGCTATAAAAGGAGAGGAACATGTGCGATTAATCTGGAAAACAAGCTGGATATGTGGTTATGCTTTTTGATATGCTGGCTTTTGCAATCGCAGCTTGAGTAGCATCTCATGAGTCCGGCATCATCTGAACCAACCTTCTCTAATTCTTCGTTCTGCCTGAGGTCGAGGCTGGTAGGTCCGCTGAGAGAGATGGGCTCTGTAACACCCAGATGCGGCACCCTCCCACCTGCCATGCTCGCAACACTCAGAGATATGGAGTTGCTCTTGCCACTACGACCCCTTGGTTGGCATTAAGCGGTTTTCCTTGTAAACTTGCAATTCGTTTCCTGAAACTGGGCATGCGGTCCTGTGAATAGGGTATGCCAAATACTCCCGCTACACGCCACTCAATGAACAGTTGCCTCAAAGTCCAGCGGGGTTATCAAAAAGTACAAACTTGAATCTCCCCACCAGCCCGCAACGGACACCGTTCGAAACCTGCGGCATCCTTTCCTTAAGGCTTGAGGCGAGAAAGCAACTCAGGAGGAACACAGGAACACAGCGTTTAAACAAACTAAGAAATCAGCAATGGAAACAGCCCTGGGCACTACGAAGATGCATCGACAGCCTGTTAAGCTGGCCGGATCAGCACTCAGCAGAGCTTTGCCCCGTGCTCATGCAACGTCGCTTTCTTCCTCCTACCCAACCGGGCCAACGTCTACCCTCTTTCGTCTCCTTGTTGGAGCTTGGAAATGTACGGCCAGTCTGTGGACTCTGAGTTCCACTCTAAGCGCAATTCCTTGATTGCCAATTGGGCTTGGCCCTGCGCTGTAATGTCTCCCCCTATAGAAGAGCCGAGGTGTGCGTATCTGATTCGTGCTCTCAATTATATCTGCCAGTTCGAACCTGTTTTAATCACGCCTCGTGCCAGCGTTGTGCAACTTGTAAAACGGCTTCATTGGTGCTCACTGCTTATGAACTACTTATGCAAGGGCGTATATGGAACCAAGCACTTATACTCATTGCATCTGCTGTTCCCAATGTGCTGCTCACTGTTCGCTCAGGAACGGTTCTCTCTGGCCCTGGGGTTGCTGGTTGGCCGTTAGTACAGTTGTGTACTGCCTTCTGATGCAGATAGATGCCATGTGAACTAGTAGCATGTGGTGCTCTAGGTTGCTGAGTTTTCTAAGCAGAGCCATCATGCCTCTGAGCTGGTTGTGAGAACAATGGCGCACCGTTCAGAAGCGACTGGTCACCCAATGATTGACTTTGAGCGGCCAGACTGCTGTGAAGTTACCCAAAAGTTTCTGCGCGCACTTTCCATTTCAGAAGGCGATTTACAGGAAGAGCAGAGGGTGGTACGACTGTTTGCAGCCGATGTCAAAGCTGCTGGTGGGCATCAAGACAAAGAGCTGAACGCAAGCTGGGCCGCAACGCTTCTTGAGCATCCTGACTTCACCAGAGCGCTGTCTTCAGGTCTCATTCAAATTCTACAAGATCGCAGGGCGTTCTCAAAGAAAGTAGGCAGTGTAGTCTTCGACTACTTGAGCCTGCTCTATGCAGTATCGGTGGACGTGCGTACAGTCAAGTTCCTGCTTAAGACATTTCCAAGCTTCTTTAAGTTGCTGGCAGACTTCTTGATGGACGACACTTTATCACCAGCCCATGACTGGCTCAAGTTTTATGCAATTGGAGTCCTTGCCACACTGACACCATGGTCGAAGAGCCTGCGCACCTACATCGGGGAGAGCAATGACTTCTTGGAGTACATTTGTTGGCTGGTGATCAAAAGGCCCAGCAATTTGAACTCCAAGGTGTCCCAAAACTGCTTGATCATCTTGACGAACAGTCTGATGTTTGTCAAGATGACACAAAACCTGGGGATCCTCTTTGTCCAAATCGCTGCTCAAGTGCTGGCAAAGTCAGATGCCCCTGAGGAGTTCATGTGTGCTGCACAGAGTCTGTGGGTGCTGATTCAGTTCTATCCTCAAAGCCATGAGCTGCTTTTGAAAAGTCCTTCCTTGCTGTGGTCGAGCCTTGCCCTTGCTTCTTGCGAGGAAGCTCCTGAGCCTGCGAGACACCCGGCTCTTGCCGCTCTGAAACTTTTCCATCCCAACCTGCGGTCGATTCAAGTGGAGGAGGAGATGCAAAACACAATCAAGCGGTTGCTGGCTGCCAATCCCCAGGGACTTTCTCGAGCACAGCATCTTAAAAGTTCGGTGTTTGCAGAGCTGCCTTTCTCAAAACGCAATGCCAGGTTCTGCTTCACAAGGGTCGAAAACTATGTCCAAGGGAACTTACGCCTCGATGCAGAGGGCACGCAGACTCTTTTTGGCCCGGCGTTGGAGAGAAAGCCAAGGAGAAAGTGCTCAGCTGCAGGATGCACAGCCGTGGAAACACAGTCGTGCAAAGTCAAATTAGATATCACCATCGGAAGTCACTCCTAGGCTTCCGGTCAGCAATTCGATGCTGCTGGATGCCGTATAAAGAGAAGACTTGACCTCTCGTGCAGCACGTCGATACAGTACGCTGAACCTAAGGCGCAAACTACGAAGATTCTCATCCCCTTTTTCAACTGGTAAAGATGGAACCACTTTCCGATTGTTGGAAAGCTGGCTTCTCCAAATATTGAGATCTAGACAGGCCAAAAGATGTTGCAAGCAGAGAGAATCTCAGGTTCGTTCCGCTTACCTCGACCACAATAGCAAGCCAGCCTGCAGCCACCACAGACAAGGAATTCATTGATGGAAGACTCCACTCTCTCGCATTCAGGACGGGCGCACTTTCTGTAGGGCCTGTCACGGATCGTCCAGTCGATTCCGCCTTCTGACAAATTCAGTCTTTCGTTCCCCTTGCCCCAGGGCAGAGGTCTCATCGGTCCAAGCAACAGTTCCCTTCCTTCCGCGGGCCTTCTGGACATCTCAATCAGCTCCTGCAATCTGCCCTGTGCGCCTACATCTTTGCAGGCCATCTGTGCAATTGCCACGGCCACCTGGTTCTCTGACTCCTTCGTATCATCTAGAACCAGGTCACACAAAATGGCGGTCATGTGCTGTGCAAACTCTTGCATCGAGGAGTCAATCTCCTTGCATACTGCTAGAGCCAGGAACGACTGGCGGAAGGAACTTCGAAGCTGCCCCGCTAGGTGCTGGCACACTTCGAAGTCGCCTTCTGTTTCCTTGTTGAATAGGGATATGAGGCAGCAACAAGCGCGCTGAAGAGTCCGGGGCATTGTACCCCGAGAGAGAAGACTGGAGATGAGGTCCATAAGAGCAGCAAGAAGAGCGCCCGAACTCAAGTCGCGGCTGTTGTCCAGTACCGTACTTATCACCAGGCAAGCGAAATGAACGAACTCGATGTCCTCAAGATTCTCCTTGCACTGCTGCATGAGACAGAGAAGAAAGTCGTGCAAGCTGGCGACCTCTTGAATGTGGCGTGGCTTGGCCCAGATGAAGAGCGTGCTGATCGCTCTGACAATGCCTTTCCTGCTTTGAATCCCTGGATCAGACCAGTCTCGCGGCTGCACGTACATCTCAGCCAGAGAGTAAGCTCGCATGAATATGTTCGCCAGAACCGGGAAGAGGTTGGGCACCTCAGACAGAAAGTGCTTGAAAGTTCGGCCGTCGACCACCAGCATCTCCAGAACGCTGCAGTATATGGTGACTCTGCTGTAGATATCAACCGTCTTCCCAGCAGCCTGCACGTCAAGGGCATCCTTCGGGATGAAGTACCAGCGCCCGGTCAGGGCCGCATCTGTTAGCCCTCTTCCTATCTCCTGTGCCATGCCACGCGTCAGCATGAGAATGGAAACGTTGACGCCAGCGGAACGTTCACCTCCTTGCCGCAGTCTTGATTCATTGAACAGCAGGTCCCCATACGTTTCTTTGAACCTCCACAAGGCCATCATCCTGCTTCCTTCGTCTTTTGATTTGAGCTCTTTGAGGATCTCTTGCAGCCAGCTTGACCTTTCAGGCATGTCAAAGTCCACCTTAATCTCGTTTCCCTCATCTGTTCCAAGGACTGACAACTCTTCCAGAGTGAGTGATGAAAGACGCGGCACATTGTCCATCGGTGTGGATTTAGGGAGCCTCTGATTCTCCGACGCAGCCATAGATTGAGAAGAGGATTCTCCGCGCTGTCCTCTTCGTAGACAATGTTACAGGATTAGATCAGAGCCACCTCACTGCCAGAAATACTGCGCATGCATGGCGCCTGCAAGTGAGCAGCTAAGACTCTGCTCAGCTTCGGTGTAAGAGCCATGGAGATCTGCAGGCTTCACTTTGCTTTGAATTCACCTTCGAAGCGAAGGTGCCTGAAGCTACTGTAGGCTCAAAGACCTGCATATCCCGTGTTAAACTCAGTCTCGGACGCGAAGGGTTGGTTCCTCATGCGCTCTGGAGCAAGGAGCGACCTCTGCTTGCAATTTCAAAGATACCGACAAACCACCCTTCAGCCCTCTGTCTCGCTTCTGCTTCCTCGAACCCAAAATATTGTCATGCTACCGTACAGACCTGAGCAGAGGGCCTTTGATAAGCGCAAAACCGCAGAAACGCAGGTGAAGCGTATCTGCAATGATTCCAGTTTTCCACGTGTCACTCGAAAGCGCACGAACCAATTCTTCAGCTGTGTCAAGACCACGGACAAGCCGATGATCACTGGGAGCCTGAAGCTGCAGTCTGCGTAAGTCAAGAACGTATCTATCGGAGGTGCAGCGTAATATCCGCGCGCACGCGCACGTGCAGAGAAGGCGACCGCTGGCTTTTTGGTGATCGCATTTTCTACAAACGGCATGCGCGCGTAAGGCGAGGGACGATCCTGATTGGACATCTAGCCTATGGAAGCAAGCCAGGATTTGATTGATATGATTGACCGACAGCAGGCTAGCCCTTCAGGTTTGATGGCAACACTGTCTAGAGCATGTCATCGAGATCTTTGGAGATTTCCAGCCAGCCTCAACCGATTCGACACCGCTGACATTCTAGCTGTCGAGGCCCGCCTAATTCAGTTTGTCCAGATCTGAGGCTCTCGCTTTCTTCTGACCGCACGAAGCTGCATGATTTGTTACCGATCAATAAGATTACTTCGGTATGATTGGACACGAGCAAAGTTCAAACCTGCAAGAGCTCCTTTTAATGACGTTAAATCGAGATTCGATCGCGAAAGTAGCATGAATGTATATGTTGCCTGTTTCTCTGGTCGCCATCATGCTACCCGCCGCAGACAAACAACGCTTTTGACTACAAGATTGGATTCCAAAAGCGCTCCCTTGCAAAGGGCAAGTTCTTCAGACACATGGAAGGAACGACTCGAATTCTACAGGTCTTCTTAGATTCTGCTCCAACCTTTAACTAAACAATCGCCATGGCCGGCAACTATCCCTGGGACGTGCGTCATTTGCAGCAGAGATGGTCCTGGCTGTACCTTCTCTTCCTTCTCTGCCTCTACTTCGCATACTGTATCATCGTGCAGGCTTTCCAGGCGAGAAGATTTCCTCCAGTCTCACTTAAATACGACGCCAAACTCCGATCACCCTGCCTGATACCAGCCTGATCATAACCTGGGTGACGACCGAAAACCAAGATCCTGAGTATGAGTTTGTAGCTTGCTGCCAGGTATACACGGAAGTCAGTCCGCTTGCTCGGACTCTAGTCATCAACCAATCTCACACTCCTTACCTGTTTAGCGCTTCAGATCCTGCTGAATCATGGGATGGCGAACTCTTGAACTCTACAGTAATACTAAACGGGCCAGCCACAGACCCCTTACTCAGCCTGGCACAGCCTTTCAACCGAGGATAAGATACTCTCACTCTGGCTCAATTTGCCCCATAATGTGCAACTACACAACGGCAGATGGTCCCCTGACCATCATATTCCTGCTCAACGGCATAGCGTATCATGGGGAATACACAGAGGACAACATCTTCAACATCGAATGGTATACCCAGGGAAGCCTTATATCAGGATACTACAAGGTGCCAAGATTCAGCCCGTATTTGTCAGCCCTTATGGTTACAGCTCCCTAGTTCTATCTCATGTCGTAAGCAGAACCCCAGCCAATCTGGAGCCCAAAGACTTCTTCAAGGTCGTTTCAATTTACATCGAGGAAGGCGACATTTTTCTAGGCAACCGGACCACAGCATGTCTCGTCATGGACCGACAGGGAAGCCTTCTGGAGATGCAGATCGACCCCGTCAGTGTCACAGCCCTTCTGGCAAAGTATGGAGGCGTTTGGTTCTTCGTCCCTCTGCTCTTTAGCCTCGTCTTCGTGGCACTTGAATCGGAAACTGCACTGGAAGCCATATGTGTCCGCCGGATCATGGGACACTTTACCTGGATGAACAGCAAGTGGGAGCCAGCTTCGACGGACACGAGCCTCTCTGGCTTTGCGAGAGGGGAGTATGTGAGCCGACTTTGAAATTTGAGATATTCTGGACATTCCGAGATGCGCAGGCAACTATTTTACATACGATTTCAAAAAGAGTCAAACACAAGACGCACTCAACAGTGGCAGCCGTCTTTTACAAGGCTGACTACAGGGGGGCGTTCAAAAGTAGGTCGAGAATTCTGTCCGCAGCAGTGTCCGCAGGCTAGCACTGAAATCTGCTAGCCTGCTTTCGTTGAATTTCGTATAAAGCTTCGGTTTGATTTGTGCGCCTTCGATCGGTGGCTTTTGAACTCTGCCGTGTTGAACTGTTGTATTGAGGTACCCGAGTCGAGACATCAAAGTGTTTGCGTGCATTTGCGTGAAGTGGTTACGAGAGGATTCATTGATGTGAATCGGGACCGTGCATGCAATATCCTTCCAATCCTCCCTCTGAAGATATCGAGCATGAAAACTTTCATATTCAAAATAGCGTGAGTTCCAAGTGTGATCAAATCATGAAAGCGCAGTTGAGCTCGTGCAAAATTATCAGAGTTGCACGTTGCCATTGCTGGCTGACCGACCGAATTAGAGTCACGTGCATATCCATGTTCAATGCGCGCTCTTTCTCCCCGGGTGCCGTGCAACAACATGAGGTACATCGAAGCTGCGAAGAGTGATTGGATGCGTGCAAGGAGCTAGAGTTTAAACCGTTTTGCATTGAACGTGCATTCGTGTCGGAACATGATCCGTCTCAAGTCAAAGGCAGATAAAGCAGGGATTGCTTAAGCGCTAGGTACACTAACGGATAAATGATCGACTTAAGTTGTCGGATCGAAACCACTTTCACATAGTGACAGGCATTCACATGCGCGCAATGTAAGCTAGCCGGCATGCATGCCGCCGCGCCCTCAAGCTGCAACAAGAGTACTTGCCTGGGCGGCTTGTACGTCCGAGTCTTTGGGTTCGCTTACGAGCACTCAGAAGTATGCAGACGGTACATGACTCCTCCGATGAATGCCGCCAATTTGATTAAATGCCAACCGTCCTGCCACCGTCGCAAAACATGGCGGCCAAGTACTTCAATCTGTACGCGAAGCAGTTTGAGCAGTGGCACATCATTACCGTGTGACGTCCATTGGATGTTGACGATTGGGATCCGCACAGGGTGCCCATTGTTCTCATTGTGAACGTCTCTGTGGCCCAGACGGTGCTCAATACATACCGTAAACAACCCCCAAGCTTTGACGACTGTACTTATGGAAAGTTTCTTTGTCCACATTACAGTCGCTTCGAAAGGTCGAAGGCTGTACAAAGCGCCAGGCGCCGGACTGTCTACAACACGTGGGTCACTGCGTCCGCAGTGACGCTCAAGCCTCGAACAAGTGCACGACACCGCTTCGTCGGTCTGCTAAGAAGGCCTGACATTCTGGGCTCGCAAGAATCTAAGCTCGCGAGAACAATCTTTGAAAACACACGGGCTTGACTCGACACCAGAACGGTAACTTCGTGGATAGCCGGCTGGATGAACCGGTCACCCGCTCACGTCTTCTCCATGACCACCGGGCTCAGGGACCGGGCTGGGTGGCCTCCGCTGGGAGGGCCCTGTACACAAATGATTGACGATCTCAGAGCTGATATACGAGCGGACATGGCGATTAGGCGGGGCCTCTCGTAAAGCAGACGGGGCGCCGTCTTATGATGCACATTTTTCGCACGTGTGTGACCATAGATGGGCAAGTCGGATGTCCGCAATCCTTTTGTTGTTTTCAAAAAGTAGGTGAGCTGCTTCAGTGCAAGAATCGACCAGCCCAGTTCAAACAAAGCATTTGAGGAGTCTCGAGGACCCTCAATATCGAGCCAGAGTCGCAGAAGGCCTTCGCGACTTGTTTGTGAACGACCCTCTTATAAGTGCCTCCGTGAATTCTGCAGGATCGCTTGGAGCCTTCGAACACTTCACGAAGCTTCTCTGCGGAACTGAACTTCATCAATTGCAGCGGTAGCACCAGCCGTTCCGAAGACGAAATATGCCAACTGAGAAGGTGCACGGCTCTAAGTCGGAGACGTCGATAAAAAGCCACTTCAGCGATCTGTCTTGAACTGGATTGCAAGGGCCAGCAATCCACTACCAGAACGAACCCAGATATGTCGAAGTCAGAAAGGAGACGCGATCTTGGCAGAGTCGGAGCTCCTCACCCTAGGCGGCCCTCCAACGGGCACCGCCCCAATCGAACGGCTATCGGCAGTGGTTGCAGAGTTCGTTCGTGCAGCCGGCTCAGGATGCATACATCTGCGCAGAAAAAATAGACCCCTCATTTGAAACGGGCCGGCGAACATGCCGCAGCGAGGGAATCGGATTAACCGCACGAAAATGCACGGAATTGGCACTTCAAACAAAATTATATTGCTTAGTCTGCAGCGAAGAAGGAGAACAACAAAACCAAAACGACATCGAGTAAGCTTGCGTTTCAGTTGCTAATCTGTACAGAAGAACCAGGCAGAGCGCGCTGCGAATGTGCGGAAAGGATGGGTTAGGCCGAGGGCTCTCGCTTGTTTGCATGATTTAACCTTCGCATGCCTGCTCAGATTGATCGGACGATACAATGACTGACGAGCCACTTGGGAGACCCCGAATGATTAGAACTTTAATGTGTCAATTACGACGCAGAAATGTGAGGAAGGAATGGCAGAAGTTAAGGCGGCGCGGTTGCGGGCGTCACCTGCTGACGTAGCGGTAGAGCTTCCAGAGCGTGCTGGGGGGCAGCACGTCGAGGTCCACCTCCACGTCTTCCTCTTCCTGCAAACACGCCCCGTGGCGATTAGGATACCGTGAACTTGCTGCAGACTTGAACCGCTCAAAACGAATGAAAGGACAAGTACGCGCATTCGGTGGATACCGAAATCACGAAACGTATCTGACGGCGACAATTGCAACCCGCTAAGCAACCAAGCGCTCTCAAGCTGTCTCGTCGTACCCTACAGGATGCGCTACTATCTGAAGAAACGCCTCGGTTTGTTAACTCATTCCCCGGACGTCCGAAACGCACCTCCTCTTCCACCGGACTGTCCGCAATGATGATGTCCACGACGCGCTGCAGCTTTTCGGACGGCAGCTTCCCCAGGTTGGCCCCCAGCTCGCGCTTCTCCTCGATCGTCATGTCACGGCACTTCTCCGCCGCCTCCTGCTTCAGCGCGTCCAGCTCCCGCTCTAGTTCCTGCGCCTGCAGCGTTCCAGGATTTCGGAGCATCAAGATCTGCCGCTTTTTGTTTCAGGGCCTCCAGCTCCCGCTCTAGTTCCTGTGCCTGCAGTGTTGCAGAATATGCCTGTTCACAGTTGCGGTTTCCAACCAATGCACAGCACCAGCCGTCCTTTAAGGACAGACGTCCTTTAGGAAACAGTCCGGTATGGCCTCCAAGAACTGAAAAGAGCTCGGAGCGGTCGCGGCAGACTTCAGAAGGAGAGCGAATTTTCTACCGAAGAAGAAAACATTTTGTCCAGAATTGAGAACGAAGGTGTCGAGGCCGGACCTGCTTCTCCGCATCTGCCGCTAGCTTCTCCGCCGCCGTCTCTTCCGCCGCTGCAATGATGGCCGACTCCCGGTTCTTGAAGTCCGCGTCCTCCTGTTTTCGGCGCGCGTGCTCCTCCGCCAGTTTGTGCTCCATCAAAGCCTGCGCCACGAGAGGTTGGTTCATGATCTGTCTGAAATGCATGTTCTCCGTCAATCCATTCAGGCGTCATCCTCACAAATTGCACGGATGCTAAGCCCTGTCATGGCCTCTGTTCCAGCCAGTAGCGACAGAAAGATCGGCTCAAGCACTATCAATCTCAAAACGAGATCTGAAGAGCGTCTCGATATCTTGTACTGCGCCCCCTCACCCGCCACCGCTCGTTGAACTTTTTGTTCAGCTCCTCCGCCATGATGTGCACGTCCGTCCCCGGCTGATTGTACGTCATCGCATTGCTGCAGAGTACGGGACGGAGCTCAGGCGAGGTTTGATTATCCTTTGCAGGGGTTTGTTGCGAGCCAAAGCCTTCTGATGCAGCTCAACGCCTTTCAGTATCTTGCTGCACTATTTCAAATCCTTTCTGCTCTCGGTCTCTTGCAATTGCTTGCTGCTCTCAGTGGTCCCTGGCTAACGCCTTCGCTGTCAATTGTCTCCGTTCAAAAATTCTCATATAACGTGCCAGCAGAGCCACGGGGAAGCCAGACATGCTATAGCGCAAAAGTGAGAGCCACTATATTCGAAACTGTGGGCCTCTCTGTGATTCCCGACGGTAAACGTTTTTGCAACGGATTTGCGCTCGGAAAACTCACTCTGGCACTCCATTTGCTCCCCACTTCTGCAGGGCGCCGAACTTACGAAAACTTTTGGTCCGGCAGATTCGCAAGACTCCCTTCACATGCTCATTCTAACCAGACCCGCCACTGCTTGCATCCGGCTATCGTGTCGATTTTTTTTGGAAACGATCATCTGGTTCTGGCCTTGATGGGACGTCTGCAATGCGCTTTCGTTGCAGAAGCATCCATGGAGTGGCAGCGTGCTTACCTAAACACTAGCCGGACGTCCGCCGCAACCTCCTCGGGTGTCCGGTAGCTGTGGCCGTCCTTCTTGTCCAGCTTGTCTTTGATGGTCCCCAGGTCCATCGGCTTCTTGATTACCTGCGGGAGGAAACGCAGAATGTCAGCGCGCCATTTGTTTGCCACGCACTATTCTTGCTGAGGTTCTATTATCTCCACAGGTTTCAGGGAAAAAGATACACGGTCTTTGTATGCTTCTAGGTTGCCTGCCGAAAGGAGAGAATGATGGATTTACACTAGCCGTTTTCCAGACCTCCCTCACAGTCTTTTCGCAATCTCCGGTTCACGTCCATCGGCTTCTTGATCACTGAACGGAAGAGTACTTTTGTCAGGGCGCGATCGTATTGCCAGGAACTTTCTCACAATGTATGGATGTTTCCTCCACAGATCGGTCATTGTCTGGAGAGCAGGATAGAAGCTCTTCATGCTTCCTAATCGCCTGCCCGAATATAACTATCGAAGGGTCAGGCAACTCGATCTCCAGAGCCCTCACAGTCTTTTTGTTCCTACTCCACCGGTTTTCTTCGTTTCTTCCAAACGGAGAGTTGATACCCGTATGATCCTGTCAGCCGCTTCCTGAGCGCTTCGCTCCGACTCGCTTCGTGCTCTGGGCATCATTCTTCGCTTGCTCATCAGCCCCACTAGTAAGCTGGAGAAGGGGCAAGTCGCACTGTAATGTGCCCGGCTTACGGTCAATATAGTGACACGCAGGGAGGTCGAAGGACCGAGAAGGTAGAAGAACGCACTTCAAATTCTGCCTGTGGTAAAAAGTCCTTTTACTTCGTCAATCTACTCTTCCTCCTCACGTCAACCGTTATGCTTCCGTTATTGTTCTTTCTTCACATATTGGAGAACACAAGACAATCGCTTTGGACAAGTGACCACGTAACATTCAGAGTACATAGTGTCGTTGCAGACAACTCACCTCGTGGTAGTCTGGCAAATTCATAGCCACGGCATCGACGGGCTCCATGAAAGGCCACGCCCATTTGTGCTGCATCATCTGCACGAGAGGCAGAACGGGCACCGTCAATCCAGCAAAACAGAGACAGAGGTTCGAAGGCTCTTCAATCTGTTTGCTATTCAGCAGAAGGCGCACTATTGACGACAGGAGACGAGAGCAAATAATCGAGGCCTTTCTAACGTGCCCAAGCATTGCACATATTGGCAGGAAGATTTTGATTATCACAAGATGACGGCGCGAGCAAGTTGTTCAAAGTGTCCTGTTCCAATGTGGCCAAATATCCAGCAAGAAGTACAAGAACGCAAGGATCGAACGACCTATTTGATCGATAGTTCGGGAAGGAGTTTGGACTTGCACGATTGTGACTTGAAACGTGCAGTACCCTAGGTACCAGGTCGCTTGTTTCTTTTCACCTGATGTGGCCTTTCATCAGCAAGGCAATACGGCAAAGATACAACGACCTTGCATCTTTGGAGTTATGAACTTGATTCGAGCACGGGCAAAACCACGATTAAAAGCGAGTGATTTCGCAAACATACTGAAAAGCAGGGAGTCTTCTGAGCATGAAAGCGGACGCACATGAAAAGGCAACGACAAAAGCACGCAGAAGGCGGCCAAAAAACAAGAAACTGAAATCAGACGTGGCAGAAGACTCGGCATCTCACCTGGCGCAGAATGGTGAGGCAAATCTTCATGAGCTCCTGCAAGCGCTTCTCTCGTGCTTCCTCCGCTTTCTGCTTCTCGCCCTTGATCGCCTTCAGCGCCCCTGCCGGCATCCGTATTCCCATCTTGTCCGGCAGCCCCGCTGGGCGGCTTAGCTTCGCCTTCTTCTGGGTGCGCACACGGACGACCTCCTTCACCTGGCGGACAGATCGGCGCCCTTTTGAGTAGAAGCATATGGTATGAGGCGGGTAGGACATGAAACCAAGGACACCGGACTAAATCATCAGGGAAGGCGCTGGCCGGGGGTCAGGTGCATCCATTCACCCAGCCAGGAGGGAATGAGCGATTGTAGCGTTCTGGAAAACTGAGTTTTGTGATGCCAAGATGCTGCCAATTTCGGGAGTGGTAAGGGCTTTGACTCAGGGTGGATCCGCTGTTTGGTGATGATCATGTATTGGCCGCTTTTAGTTGGAATTCTCGACCCCACCATCAGCAAGCACTCGATCAATTCATCCTAGATTTGCAGGCAACCAAGGGGGTCCTCCTTCCTAGCCTGCTCTCAAGGACCATAACCAAGCTGCAAACACCTGCTTAACCCGCATCAAACCACTCCTCACCTGCTCGTCCAGTTGGTCCATCCTCTGTTTCGCGGCCAACACCTTGCGCTTCATCTTGAGGCGATCCTGCCGCTCGAGCAGCGCGACTTCTCTTTGGGAGGGGGTCAGAATTTGGCGCAGGTTGGGGGGAACGGGCACAGGGCTCACAGAGGACGGCCGCTCAATGACCACCGCAGCAGTGGGGGCCGCGCTGTGACTGGGGCCTGAAAAGGCGTGCAGGGGAAGCCTTCAAAATTTTGGAAATTATGGAAATTTTGTTATGGTACTATTCAAGAACTTTTGTGGCCAGATGGAGACTGACTTACGGAGGGGGTCACGCTGTGAGTGGGGCTTGAGAATGTGTGCACAGGAAGTCTTTGTGATAAGGGCCAAGAATTGACGTCCCATCAACAAGCTTCTGTGTTCAGATGGAGCAAATTTGTGTGCTGAATGTGTTCAGAGTGGGACAATTAGTCGGATAAAATGTGTGGAAGAAGGGCGGCCTTAGTTCATAATCCTCAATGGAGGTCTTTTACCACCCTAAGGAACAAGGGGGGCGCTATGATATGGCGCGCAAGAAGAATACACGACGACATTACAAGACTCAACCATACACGGAGTTTTAGGCCGTTTGGTCTGAGTTCAGAGGATTCAAGGATGGGCTTCAAGCAAGGATAGCTGAAAGCAGCCCGTGACGGAGGTGGGGCCTTCCAGATCAGGACGGTTTTAAATGGTCAACAAAAAGAGGAGGAAAAGAAAAGAGTCTGCTTTCATCGTGAGTAGCAAAAGCTACGATGACGAGGTGGTGCATACACATTGGGTACATGCCCTTCGAAATGCCTGTTTACAAAGAGCGGCCTTTGAAACAAGTAGCAAGCAGGAGTCTGGCATTGATACAAACTCATTAGAACTTGATATGTTTGAAGGCCTGCGACACTCCTTGGTCGTGCCGTCTCGAGAAGCCGACAAGCATTTGGAACAAGCCACGACCTTCATTCCCGGTGGTTGAAGCTGCATCGCAAATTTTTGTAGTGGCCTTTAAATAAGTTACTATTTGAAGCGGTTTCCACTGATGCACACTAAATGGAAAGTGTTCAAGTGCTGGAACTGCTTATTGCTAACTCACCTGGAGGCTCCATCTTTTCACTTTGCTTTTGAGCATCATTAGTCACGAAAGCCTCACATTGTTGTCGGAGTTTGCACTATTGTTGATTTCAAGCATCTGTACCTTGCCTAAGGGTTAGAGCTCAGATTCGCTGACGACTTCATTTGCGGCATTCTCCTTGGCCTTGGCCAGTCCTGCACATGAGATATTTCGGACCTGAGGACTAGAGCTTCTCATGACAGAAATGACGCCTTGCTTGACAAGGACAATGACACCAACAAATGGAACATGTTTTTGGCCTGGCTAGCTGAATTAAACTTTTAATCTAGGATAGGCGGCTGCTATCCTAGCGCTTTGTCATGATGCATCATTCACTTGCGCTGCTGTCATGTACGCGCGCGAGCGCGGCGGAGCCATGCCCAACAAGGCATCTGAGCTTGGTGAGCTCGGGGCCTAGTTCCGAGGCCGTCAAAGTTCCACGTCGGATCATCGGAACCGTGGATCCGGCTGCGTGGCAATTCCGACGGCCGTCGCCGATTTTCGGAGTTCTAATTTCAAAATTCCGACTCGGAGTCACACTGCCACTGACGCAAAACTATCAAAGTAGACTCCTTTTGTTAGTGTCTACGCCACCCTGATTGGTGTGAATCACTCTCAACCCACCTGGAAGCACCTGAAGTGTGACAATTATTGCAGTCTGTCAGTGGTTACGGGCGTGGTTACAACGTTGACAATGAGACTGACATCGACATTGACATCGACGTTGACATTGACATTGACCCGGGGCACTTACTTTGACATTAGGGTTACGTTGCAAACCTGTGA